ATACATGTACGTCCATCCGCAGCATGTGTTATGTATATATATACATGTACGTCCATCCGCAGCATGTGTTATGTATATATATACATGTACGTCCATCCGCAGCATGTGTTATGTATATATATATACATGTACGTCCATCCGCAGCGTGTGTTATGTATATACATCCATCATCCATACGTGTACCTGCTATACATGTACATTTGACCGTACGTGTGCGTTATACATATGTACGTGTCCGTACGTGTGTGTTATGTATATGTACGTTCCTCTGTCCGTACGTGTGTGTTATGTATATGTACGTTCCTCTGTCCGTACGTGTGTGTTATGTATATGTACGTTCCTCTGTCCGTACGTGTGGGTTATGTATATGTACGTTCCTCCGTCTGTACGAGTGTGTTATGTATATATATACGTTCCTCCGTCTGTACGAGTGTGTTATGTATATGTACATTGNCTCCGTCCGTACGAGTGTGTTATGTATATGTACGTTCCTCCGTCCGTACATGTGTGTTATGTATATGTACGTTCCTCTGTCCGTACGAGTGTGTTATGTATATGTACGTTCCTCCGTCCGTACGTGTGTGTTATGTATATGTACGTTCCTCCGTCCGTACGAGTGTGTTATGTATATGTACGTTCCTCCGTCCATACGTGTGTGTTATGTATATGTACGTTCCTCCGTCCGTACGTGTGTGTTATACATATGTACGTTCCTCCGTCCGTACGAGTGTGTTATACATATGTACGTTCCTCCGTCCGTACGAGTGTGTTATGTATATGTACGTTCCTCCGTCCGTACGTGTGTGTTATGTATATGTACGTTCCTCCGTCCGTACGTGTGTGTTATGTATATGTACGTTCCTCCGTCCGTACGTGTGTTTGTGTAGATCAGTTGACGTGTGTTATGTATATTATACATCCATCATATGCGTAGATGTACTGCTTGCTATACATGTACATGTATTCATCCGTACGTGTACTGTTATACATGCATGCATCATCTGACCACCGCGTGTGTTTGTGTAGATCAGTTGACGTGTGTTATGTATGCGTAGATGTACTGCTTGCTATACATGTACATGTATCCATCCGTACATGTACTGTTATACATACATGCATGCATCATCTGACCACCACGTGTGTTTGTGTAGATCAGTTCACCGTACTCATGGCTGCTTGCGCTTCCAACAAGGGATCTGAGCGTAATGTCTTCGTCTGCGTAGAGAAGCTGCTGGAGAAAGGAGCCGACGTAAACACCTTCGACAAGTGAGTGCAGCGCCAGCGCCACCTAGCACGATTCACGTTCACTTGTTTCGCCGTTCGATTGTCGTGCGATGCCGGCCCTCGTTTGAGGACGTTTCGCCGAATTTATTTCACTTCGAAGCTCACCTGAATTGCTTTAAATTTCCTTCTATTACTTTATTAATTAGATTTTTATAACTACATTTAATTTTTATTTTTTAGGTCATATATTTTATCTGTTTTTCTTTCCTTTTCTACTTCTCTTTGCTGTTTTCTGAGGCATCAGCATACTCCTACCCTAGGTACCACCGAACAATATTCTTAGCCCATGCGTCCCGTCGTTTGTCCACGTACTAAAAAAACAAGTACCTCACAGCGCCTCCTGGAGGTAACACACGCAAACTCCTCGCCCACATCGTGACTCGTTTCCCGTTTCAGACACAAGATGACGCCACTGATGTACGCGGCGCGGCAAGGCTGGGTCTCCATCGTGAAGATGCTGCTCGACCACATCGCGAATCCCAATCTACAGGACGTGCGCGGATGGACGGTACGCGTCGCCGCGGCAACGACGACGGAAAACCCTTTCGTCCGCGTAAAAAAAAAAAATTTTGTCCTGTTTGAAAGCAAACTTGTGTCTGTGTTGTGTAGCCCTCTTCTGTGGTGTGACTTTTTGTTGAGTGTTTTTGTTTGAGATTGTTGTGTTTTGCGAGAGTGGTTTTCGTTACGAGAGCGATCGATGTGTGTTTACCTGAACTTCAATCTTAACGGTTGTTTCCCCTCTAGCTTACCTATGGTTTACCTGTAGATCACTTGTAATCAGTAACAATACACCTGTAATCAGTGACCGCTCCCCTGGACGCGGCATCCGACTGTAAGAATACCTGTGTTCAGGTGTTACACTGGCAGCAAGCTACCTGTAATCAGTGACCACCTGTAGCATACCTGTGTTGCAGGTGTTATTGCACATGGCAGCAAGCTACCTGTAATGCAGTGACCGACTGTAGGCATACCCTGTGTTTGGCAGGTGTTACACTGGGCAGCAAGCTACCTGTAATCAGTGACCACCTGTAGCATACCTGTGTTGCAGGTGTTACACTGGGCAGCAAGCTACCTGTAATCAGTGACCGCTTACCTGTAGCGTACCTGTATTGCAGGTGTGTATCACTAGGGGGGCAGAGCAAGCCGCGGTCACATTCTCACGACAAAGGCCTTCGTAGAAGCAGGAGCTGATACCGGCAGCTATCGCGCGCGTTCGATGGCAGAAAGCAGTAGATATAGCCTACGCACTAGAACTAGCACCATGTAGCTCACACAGCGGAGGGAGGCAAGCGGGGAGGGAAGGGAGCTGGAGAGGGAGGGAGGGAGGAGGGAAGGGAGGGAGGAGGAGGTAGGGAAAGCAGTAGATAACGCCTACCCGCCACAGAAATACAGCATGTCACAGTCACACACAGGAGGGAGGCAGGGGAGGGAGGTGAGAGGGAGGAGGGAGAGGGGAGGGAGGGGAGGAGTGAGGGAGGGAGGGGAGAGGAGAAGAAAGGCAGTAGAGTAATAGGGTACGCACAGAACTACGCCAGCATGTAAAGTCCCACACACGGAGAGGAAACAAGAGAAAGAGGAGGTGGAGAGGGAGAGGGAGGAAGGGGAAGGAGGGAGGTAGGGCAAAGCAGTAGATATAGCCTACGCACAGAACTACCAGCATGTAAGTCACAAACACGGAGGAGGCAGGAGGGAGGTGAGACAGGAAGAGGTGAAGGAGGAGGGAGGGAGGAGGTGAAGGAGGGAGGGAGAGAGAGAAAGCAGTAGATACTAGGCCTACGCCAACCAGGCAAAATCACACGACGCGAGGGAACAGGGAGGAGGTGGAGAAGAGGGAGGGAGGAGGAGGGAAGAGGAGTGAGAGAAGGGAGGGGAAAGAGAGAGAGCAAGAGATATAGCCTATCGCACAAAATAGCCCAAGCATGTAAGTCACTACAACTGGAGGGAGGCCAGGTGAGGGAGGTGTGAGAGGGCGGAGGGCAGGGAAGGAGGGAAAGCCAGTAGTATATAGGCCTATTACTCCGGGGCAGCTAATACGCACAGAACTACCACAACCTGTAAGTCACACTACAGAGGGAGGCACGGGAGGGAGGTGGAGAGGGAGGGAGGTGAAGGAGGGGAGGCGAGGGAGGGAGCAGGGAGGGAGGGAGGGAGAGAGGGAGGGAGGGGAGGGAGGGAGGGAGGGAGGGAGGGGAGAGAAGAGAAAGCAGTTAGAATATTAGCTACGCAGCAGAAGCTACCAGCGTGTAAGTCACACACGGAGGGAGCAGGGAGGGCAGGGAGGGAGGTTAGGGAGGGAGGGGAGGGAGGGAAGGAGACGAAAGCAGTAGATATAGCCTACGCAGGCAGAACTACCAGCGTGTAAGTCAGCAACCACGGTAGGGAAGCAGGGGAGGGAAAATGGAGAGGGAGGGAGGGAGGGAAGGTCGAGGGAAAGCAGTAAATATAGCCTACGCACATCTCGACTACCAGCGATGTAAGTCACACACGGGAGGGAGAGCAGGGAGGGAGGTGGAAGAGGGAGGGAAGGGATCAGGGAGGGGGAGAGAAAGCAGTAGATATAGCCTACGCACGAGAACTAAACCCCAGCGTGTAAGTCCACTACACGGAGTGGAAGGCAGGGAGGAGGTGGAGAGGGAGGGAGGGAGCCGAGGGAGGGAAAGCAGCTAGATATAGGCCTTACCACAGGGAACTACCAGCCGTAGTAAGTCAGCACACGGAGGGAGAAAAAAGAGGCGAGGGAAGGGAGGGGAGGCGAGGGAGGGAGGGAGGGAGGCGAGGGAGGAAGGGAAAAGCAGATAGATATAGCCTAAGCCTACGCAACTACCAGCGTGTAAGTCACAACACGGGAAAGAGACAAAAGGGGCGGAGGAGGGAGGAGGAGGGAGGGAGGGAGGAGGGAGGAGGGAGGGAGGGAAGGGAGGGAGGGAGGTGGAGGGACGGGAGGGAGGGAAGGAGGGAGGGAGGAGGGAGGGGAGGGAAGGCAGTTAGAATATAGCACTACGCACAGAACTACCAGCAATGTAAGTCACACACGGGAGGGAGGCCAAGGAGGGAGGTGGAGAGGGAGGGAGGTGAGGGAGGGAGGGAAGGGATGGGAAGGGCAGGGAAAGCAGTAGATATAGGGCCTACGCACAGAACTACCACAATGTAAGTCACACCGGAGGGAGGCAAAGGGAGGGAGGTGAGAGGGAGGGAGGTGGAGGGAGGAAGGAGGGAGGGAGGGAGGGAGGGGAGCGGAGGGAGGGGAAAGAGAGAAAGGCCAGTCAAGATATACGGCCTAAGCACAGAACTATCCAGCGTGTAAGTCACACAAACGACAGGTCCTGCGGGAAACTGTACGGGAGGGAGCAGGGAGAGAGGGAGGGAGGGAGGGAGAGGAAAATGGAGGAGGGAGGGAGAGGAGAGGGAGGAGTGAGGGAGGTAGGGAGGGAGGTGGGGAGGGAAGGAGAGAGGCAGGGAGGGAGGGAGGGATGCAGGGAGCCAGAGAGAGAAAGAGGCATGGAGGGAGAGGCAGGGAGGCACACAGCCTGATAACATAGTATAGTAAAGGTAGTCTCTCTCTCTCTTTCATCATCATCATCATCATCATCATCATCACCATCATCATCATCATCATCTTCGTCATCATCATCATCATCATCATCATCGTCTCTCTCTCTCTCTGCTGTAGATAGTGGTTTACTACACGTCACATGGCAGCGACATCACCGTGGCAACGTTCGCTCAACCAGACGGAATCCAAATCATGATCCAGGAGCCGAGTCCCGATCGTGAGACCCCCGCCACGCCCCTCCCTCCCCCCGCCTTCTCCTCCCCCTCACCCTCACCCTCCCCCGAGGCGGAGATGCCGAGGCCACCGTCGCCCCCGGCAACGGAGAAGCGGCGGTCGCCGTCGATCATCGTCGAGTCGCCGGACGAGGAAGCTGAGGCGGTTGCCGCAGAAACGGGGACGGTCCCGGAGATGCAGGCGCCACCTACGTACGGAGTGGCGCCCCCTCCACCGGACGAGGCGCATTCGATGAGGCGCGGGTCGTTGAAGAGGGTTGTCGCGGCGACGGGTACGCTCTCGGAGACGACGGTGGCGCCACCTACGTATGGAGTGGCGCCCCCTCTGTCCGAAGGGCAGTCGATGAGGCGTGGGTCATTGAAGAGGGTTGCCGCGGCGACGGGTACGCTCTCGGAGACGACGGTGGCGCCCCCTTTTCCGGTTGCGGCGCCGCCGCCGCCGGCGTACCAGGACGCAGTTCCGGTGGATATCTCTAGTCAGTGAGTATTCGCAGCGGCGCAACCTGGTGCCTGTTATTGTTACTGTTTACTTTTGTCATAGTTTCTGCTAGCGGCGATTAATTGTTGTGGAGAGGGCGCCACTTAGATCTGACAGTTTCTAATGATAAATCGGTAAACAAGTGAACAGTGAAGAATCCCACTCTCTACGTATGTTTAACAACGTCTCACTAGTTGCTGGCTGTCACTGTCGTAATGCTGCGTTGTGGTGACGAAGACGCTCCAACTGTGACAGCTCACAACTAGAAAAGATACGCTAGAAAACTAGATAATTAGATAACTAGAAAAGTAATGGCGTCTTGTAAAGACACGTACGGTCCAGCGGTGACAGCAACTAGAAAAGATACGCTAGAAAACTAGACAATTAGATAACTAGAAAAGTAATGGCGTCTTGTAAAGACACGTACGTTCCAGCGGTGACAGCAACTAGAAAAGATACGCTAGAAAACTAGATAATTAGATAACTAGAAAAGTAATGGCGTGTTATAAAGCCGTGAGAACTCACAAGTAGGAAACATTCTCTGCGCACGCGTCTGTTGAAATGTTACACGCTGGAAATGTCGATTTGGAAAGGTCACGAGCAGTGTGGAATTTAGTGGAGTAATTAGTTGCTGATTGTTTGTGTCTGGCTCGCGAAAACTAATTATGGCACAGCATTTAAGGTGACACTGTAGCGCTACTGTATTTCCCATCCTGTTATTATCATTATTATTGATAGGTTATAGAAGATAGAATGTTGTTATGGAAAGTTAAAAGTTCATATTTATGCATGATTACGTATGAGTTTATAACAGATGTTCTCTTGTTTTTCTCCCCACAGGAATGTTGCGAAGTACGGTGACCTTGAGTTGTTCCTGTCGGGNCAGAGAATGTGATGAGACGATGATAGCGAGATCGAGGAGAGAGATTGAGGGATGAGAGCAGAGAGGTGGAAGAGTGAGATGTAGATTAAGAGAGGTGTCGAGTGATGATATTAAACGAGAGTGTGATGATCTGTAGTTTTACCGCACGTTATGATGAGATACTGTCAACTAGGGCTTCCTGATCGATCCCTGGAAGGATGTGTATCCTGAGTGTTCGAGGGGCGCAGTGAACGAGGTTTGATAGTTTATCTTGTTGATCCTAGTAGATGATTTATGATGATCTGAGAATCGAGCAAGAGAGGGGTGAGAGTGATGATCTTGTTATAGGGGATGTTGTAGCCGGATTTCGGAGGAGATCTTGATGAATTTGAACGGATGACAGAAGATGATGAGAGAGAGGAGGAGGAGAAGAGAGAGAGAGAGCGATGAGGAGAGAGACCGAGAGGAGAGAGAGAGATGTAGAGATTTTGATTGAGGAGACAGGACGAGAGAGGAGAAGATCGAGAGGAGAGAGAGGATGACGAGAAGAGAGAGAGGAGAGAGAGAGAGAGTAGAGAGCCAGAGAGAGAGAGAGAGAATGATCAGGGTGTGACCAGAGAGAGGAGAAGAGAGAGGAGAGAGAGAGAGAAGAGAGAGAGATGTAGCTGAGAGAGAGAGAGAGAGAGAGAGAGAAGATGAGAGAGAGAGATGACGACGACGAGGAGAACCTGCAGAGAGATGAGAGAGAGATGAGAGAGTAGCATGCAGAGGCACAGATGAGAGATGAGAGAGAAAGGAGAGCATCCTCGATTATGAAAGCACTTGCTGCTGCTGCCTACTACTGCTACTACTACTGCTGCTACTACTGCTGGTGTGCTGTTGTTTTTTTTTACAAGTGCCTGGTGACTGCTGCCTGCTGCTCAGCTGCTGCCTGTGCTGCTGCTGTTACTGCGCCTGGTGTTAGTGATTTTTTTTACTAGGCCAGTATTTGCTGCTGCTCGTGCTGCCTAGTGTGGTACTGCTGCTCGCTGTTATTGCAGTTTTAGTGTGTCTACTTTGTAGCTGTGTGGGTGTTGCGTACTGCGTGTTTTCTACTGCGTGTGGCTGTTGGCGTGTGTGTTGTCCGCGCGTGTAGTACTAGCATCACACGCTGGCGATGTCCGTCACAGCTGGGAGTGTCGCGCAGGCCGGCGGCACGACGACGCATCCTAGACCGGTGTGGGAGCCGTGCACAAGCAGGAGTGGGAAGATGGTCAGCCTGCATCCCTGCTGCGAGAACTCTGACATCACGTGAGTTCAATATTTGATTTGGCATGATCGATTGATTTCTGGGGCTCGCTGTGTCGACGATCGGCTAGAGATTGTTCTTGGCTGTTGTTAAGATTAACGCCATTCATTTGTTTCAATCTTATATCGATGTATTATTATTTCTTTTATTTTATTGTTCATTATTTATATATTCTATATTATTATATATATATATATATTATAATCTAGAGCCTAATAATAGACCTATTAATTAATAGCCTATTAATACCTATTAATACCTAATATCGTATTATTAGCTCTTCGATATATACTATATAGTATATATATTTCTTATTATTCTCTTCTTTATTTATTTTTTATATGATATGATTATTTGAAGCAATCGGTTATTGGGATTGATCAGTGAAAGTCCTGGGTTTGTGCGCGGTGAGGTGTGAGATGCGGCGTAATATGCTGTTGTGTTGCTTGCACAGGTGTCGGTTCGGTGTCTATTGATGAGCAACGTGGCATAATCACATACAGTACATCGGCAGCTCTTTGTCGGCCTATCTCACACTGAACTCGTTTGCAAGACGCATCCTGTCATCTTGCAGACGGGCAAGGTAGTGAGAGCGCTGTCGCCATGGCAACCGTTCACAGCGCATGCCCGTTGCCGGTATGCGTATTTCGTTTAAAATTGTCACAATTTTTGCGCGATTACTTCGTCTTGGAGTTCGATTGAGAAGCCGGGAAAAAGTTGAATAATGTAAATTTAGGTTTGAAGTGTAGCAATGTGAAACTGTCAATGTGTAGAATAAATGTGGATTTCGGGGGATTAATAAAAATCAGCGCGAAATATATCGAAAAAACGCGTGAATTTTGCGATAAAAATCGGGGGAATTGGTATAGAATGCCTATGAGTAAATTGATGCGGGTTAGAAATTTTCGGTGTCATAAATATGGAATTCCTGAACAAAAAATTGTGGGTGACATACCTGTAATAATAAATGTTAGAAATTACGTGCTTAAAAATAATTTGTGCGTTAGTTAGAAATCGACTAAGAACAAAAAAGTGTTCGAAATAAAACGTGCGTTCGGTTTTAGTGACATTCGTATGCCCCAGAGGTAATGTTTATAAACGTGACGTCGTTTTCCTGGCGTGCGCAGGAGAACACAACGTCCTCGTGTCAGCCTCTACGATAAGACCCACTCGGCGCGATGACGCGGAGTTGACGAGAGTACACGGTCGCGCTAAACGCTTTCAGAACAACAGCTTATGAAAACGTGAGTCTGTGTGCTGTATGTGGCTGTCAGTCTGTTTTCTGCCAGGGGCGTGTACTTAGGATTTGTACCCGGGGTGGGCGGGTGGCGGTCATACACGCGTAACCCCAACTTGCGAAGGTTTGGGGTCTATCTATTATATATATTTTTTGCCGTTTTAGCTACAAAACAAAAGCACCCATGTTGATATAGAAAATAAACATAGAAAATAGAATGATTTGGTTTGTCAAACTTTAACTGATGCGATACTTTCTAGAGCAGTGGTCTCCAACCTTTTGTGACTATCTCGTACCCCTATTTTGTTTACGCTATCTCATGGTACCCCTTCGCCACCATAACAGGGGCTTTACAGGATTTATACCAGCATGGGGAGTTGCTTCTAACTCGTAACCCAAACTTGCGGGCACCTTTCTGCGTATAGGTGGGGTTCGGGGGCGGCCTCTCCCCCAGAAAAAAATGTTGAATTAGACCCCCTTAGAGGCATTTTCTGCTGCTTGGTTCAGGGTGTCGTCTAGACCCCCTGGATTACCCCACCCCCCCTGTTACACGCCCTGCGTCTGTCTTTTCGTTGCCTTTTGTCTGCCACGTTATAAATTATATTTATTTAATGAATATATATATATATTAATATATATTTCCTATGATATTTTTAGCTCCTCACCTTGACATCGTCAAGTTACTGAGCTATTGCATGGGCGTCGTCCGTTCGTTCGTCCCGTCCGGTCGGTCCGTCCGTTCTTGTCTGTCAAACATTGGCTACATTCAACGCATAGCTTGAGAACTTGTTTGATCCCAACATGTTTTCAAATTGCTATAGTTGTGTACTTCCTTATGTGAGAGATGTGCGCGTCCTATTTTGTGAGCACGCCAGCTCAACCTACTTTTTATTCATTCTTAAACTGCCGTGTTTGCTGCAGTTTTATTTCGTGTGGTGTGTGATTTTTGTAGTACATATTTGTTGACATAGAAGTATTTCTTATTTTATTGGCTAAAGAACAATCAAGCATGAATAGAAGTTATAATTAAGATTCTTTAGTATAGTATAGTACCTTTTGACAAAATAACAGAAAAATGTCCATCGTAACTGGTTTAACCAAAACCTACCTATAATACGTGTATTTTTATGTGTTGGTTCTTTAGATTCTTCGTTACAGTATTATGACTGTCAAATATTTTATTGTTATTTGAGTGATACTCGAAAAACCAACCAATGCGATCATTTTAGTTCGTAAGCGCCATCTCTCGCCTCCCAGATTTCATTCTTTCAGATCTGAAATATTTATATTCGCCTAATCAAAAATTGACGTTTTATATATTATCAAGAGTATATAATTATCAAGAGTATAATATAATGGAGATATGCTATATAATGTGAGCCTATAGTGTCATTGACACTTTCATTTTATATTTATTTTGTTCTGATTAATTTTTCTTTATATATTATATATATGTTATTATATATATATATAATATTTTCGTGTGCGGTTAAGCGCCGCGATTCTTTTTTTGTGCTTCTTTTGTGTTGTTTAAACATTCTATGTAAATTTCTATGTAAACACATTATTCATGTCATCATTCACTCTACGTGTTTCACTTGTTTCACCGCACTAACGACGTTCGCTTGTTTCCGCGCAGGTCTTCGAGCGCTTAGCGGTCCACACGACGACGGCCGATCTCATCGCCAACCCCACGCCGAAAATATTCGAGCATCCGCCCATCCTGATGCCGATTTCTGCTGGCTTCGGCGACGCGGACCCTTCTCGCTGCGCCCTCTGTGTCGGTCTCTCGACGATGTCTGCCGTGACAACCGTGTCGTGTTGGGTATGGCATCGCCGTACGCGGGAGGCGGAGGTTTTGACTGGTAGGGCGTCCTCCGGTTCTTTCTGCGCGCGGCGGGGTTCGGTATGAGCGCTCGGGGAGGTTGTATTATGGGGGGAGGGGCGCGTTTGCCTCCCTCAATCGCTCGGGACGACTCGTGTGGGGGTCGCGTTGTCGTCACCGCCGCCTAGGGGGCACCACCTGCGCTCGCTCCGTAAACAATACCATTGATGTTCGGGGCGGAAAAGTTTTACGCCCTCGCCGCCAAAAAAAAATTTATTTCGATATTCGAAAATCATTGTATAAAGGAGTTCGAAATATTTTATCATCGGGAAGGAAGCGGAGGCTTTCCACGAGAGAGAGAAGGGCGTTCCGTAACCGATGACGACGACGACGACGACAATCATGACTCATCCTATCATCCGTTCCCCGCCTCGCATGATCACCCCGCCCCCTGGAGTGATTGACAGGCAGGTCTGGCCAATCCTGTCGCGACGCGAGGTTCCAAAAGGCAATGCTTGGCAACAAAGTGCGGTAGAGTCGACCGCTTTGCACGTGCGCGCGAAAAACCTAACATAACATAACATAAACTCGTCTAAACTTGACCTAGCAGTGAAATCTGAGTGGGAGTGGCGGCCACCTGGCCAGCATGGGTGGGTTCAATTAGTGCCTGAATAATTAGCCTC